ATCATTTCCTTTTGTGCCTGGAAAACTCTATAATCTGATCAGGCTATTCAAAACCTCCAATTTATCATTTGAAACTTATACATTATTAGACATCAATAGTTCAAACTATACCGTTATTTTTACTACTCAGAGTGTTACCGTGAGACATCCTGCAAGGTACTGGCAATAAAGTACTTTTTTTTTTTTTGAGTCAAAGTCTCTTTCTGTCACCTAGACTAGAATGCAGTGGCACGATCACAGCTCACTGTAGCCTTGACCTCCTGGGCTCAGGCAATCCTCCCACCTCAGCCTCCTGAGTAGCTGGGACTACAGGCGTGCACCATCATACTTGGCTAATTTTTTGATTTATTGTAGAGATGAGATCTCACTATGTTGCTTAGGCTGGTCTCAAACTCCTGGGCTCAAGCAATCCTCCTGCTTTGGACTTCCAAAGTCTTGGGATTACAGTGTAAGCCAATGTGCCCGGCAAAACTGCTTTTTTGAGAACTAAGCCGTAATATCAAGACAATGCTTTAGAGGAGAGATATGTAAAACCACCATAAAGACAATTCACTCCTACGCTTGGGTCAGGGAGGGTATTGAGTGGCAGGGAGGAACCATTCCAAATGAAAGGTAAATGCACAAGCAAAGGACAACAGCACAGGATCAGCCGTGAGGACCTGGTCAATGTATTTAGGAACTGTCCTAAATACATTGTTCAGTGTCTGGTCTTGAACTCCTGGGCACCTTAGTGAGACCTCATCTCTACAGTAAATCAAAAAAATTAGCCAGGCATGGTAGCGCATGCCTGTAGTTCCAGCTACTTGGAAGGCTGAGGCAGGATTGCCTGAGCCCAGCAGGTCAAGGCTGTGATGGCTGTGAGCGTGCCACTGCACTCCAGGCTGGCCGACAGAGTGAGACTCCAACTAAAAAAAAAAAAAAAAAAAGTTTGCGAACTCATCTTAGAAAAAGTGCTACATATCTCATTGCTGAATATCATTACGGTCACTTTCAAAGTACTCCCCTTGGGAAGTTATGCACTGATGCCAGTGACTAGTTTACCCATCAAAGTCATTTTGGAACTCTTTCTGGAGTGGTCATTGTATTACTCTTGATGTCTCGAATGTCATCATTCAATATTTCCTGTATCTTTGGGTAAAAAAAAAAGTCATTGGGGGCCAGACCAGGTGAGTAGGGAGGGTGTTTCAATAGTTATTTGTTTACTGGCTAAAAACTCCCTCACAGCCGGGCTCGGTGGCTCAGCCTGTAATCCCGCGCCTTTGGGAGGCTGAGGTGAGTGGATTGCCTGAACCCGGGGGTTCAAGACCCGCCTGGGCAGCGAGACCTCATCTCTACAATAAATTAAAAAATCAGCCGGGAGTGGTAGCGCACACCTGTAATTCCGGCTACTCGGAAGGCTGAGGCGGAAGGATCGCCAGAGCCCAGCAGGTTGAGGCTGTGGTGGCCGGAAACGGCCACTGCACTCCAGTCTGGGCGACGAAGTGAGACTCCAACTCAAAAAATAACAACAACAACAAAACTCCCTCACAGACAGTGTTGTGTGAGTTGGTGCTTTGTCGTGATGCAATAGGTCCTTCGTGACCACTTTTGCACATACCTTTCTCATACCAAGACTTTCAGTTAAGATTTTCCTGTTTCTCTATCGATGTTTATTTGACCTACTATGCTTCTCACAGACAATTTTGATGCACAATTCGATGAATTTTTGCAATGTTTTGTCAGTTCTACTTGTTACTGGCCTTCCTGACCTCTCTTCATCAGTGATGCTTTCTCTCCCCTCAAAAAAAACGTTTAATCATTTGTACCCCACCATTTTCTTCATGGTATTATCCCCATAAACTTGGACTAACATTTCCCTGATTTTACTTCCACCCTTGCCAAGTTTAACAAGAAATTTAATGTTTGTTCATTGCTCTAGTTCAAACTCTGAAAAACATGCAACAACAATAAAGATGGCCACTCAGCAAGACACCACCACACAACAGGAACACAGCTGTGAGACACTGGTATACCGAGGTTATGAAACCTGAGTTGTTTATACTGTGCTGCCAATGTAAGTGCACAGTGTTAATTGTCACACCTTGCATAGTGAAATGGTCACTATAGTAAAGCAGATTTACATATCTATCATCTTACATAGTTTGACAAAGCTGCTAAAAGCTATGTATTTAATAAAACCCCCAATACAGTTTTATTACCTTTAGTCAATATCTCTAGACTTGCTCATCCTACATAGCTGTTGTTTTGTATCCTCTGACCCACATCTCCCCATTTCCCCTTTCCCTATCTGTGGTAACCTCTGTTTCATCCATGGTCTTCATGTATTTGAGCTTTTTTTGTTTGTTTTTGAGTTGGAGTCTCACTCTGTCACCCAGGTTGGAGTGCAGTGGCATGTTCACAGCCATCGCAGCCTCAACCTGCTGGGGCTCAGGTGATCCTTCCACCTCAGCCTCCCAAGTAGCTGGAACTGCAGTCATGTGCCACCATGCCTGGCGAATTTTTCAATTTGTTGTAGAGATGAGGTCTCACCAAGTTGCCCAGGTTGTCTCAAACCCGTGGGCTCAGGCAATCCTCTCACCTTGGCCTCCCAAAGTGCTGGGATTACAGGTGTGAGCCACCTCGTCCGGTCCCGAGTTCTTTTAAAAAACATTCCACATGTGAGATCATGCAATTGGGCTATTTTACTTACCATAAAGTCTTCCAGGTTCATTCATGTTGTGGCAAATGGCAGGAACTCCTTCTTAAAGGATGAGTAATATTCCATTGCACATACATGCTACATTTTCTTTATCCACTTCTCAGTTGATGAGTCCTTAGGTTGTTTCCACATCTTGGCTATTGTGAATAAACATGGAAGTGCAGATCTCTTTATGAGTTGGTGACTTCAACTTCTTTGGACATATACTCAGAAGAGGAATTTTTGGGTCATAAGGTAATTCTATTTTTTTTTTTCTGAGCCAGAGCTCACTCTGTCACTCAGGTTGAAATGTAGCAGCATGCTCACAGCTACCGCAGCCTCGACATGCTTAGCTTTCTGCCTAAGCTTCCCAAGTAGCTTGGGACTATAGGTGTATACCACCACACCCAGCTAATTTTTTTTATTGTAGAGATGAATTCTTGCCAAGTTGTCCAGGCTGGTCTCTAACCCCTGAGCTCAGGCAATCCTCTTGCCTCTGTCTCCCAAACTGCTGGGATTACAGGCATGAGCTACTGCACCTGGCTGTAGTTATATTTTTTTAGGAACTGTGAAGAATGTTCTTGTGCTAGGTCAGACTGTTTTTCATAATGGCTGTCGCAATCTACATTCCCACCAACACTATACTAGGTTTCCCTTTCCTCCACATTCTTGCCAGCATTTGCTACCTTTTGTATTTTTGATAACAGCCATCCTTAACAGGTGTGAGGTGATTTCTCATAGAGATTTTAACTTGCATTTCCCTTACGATTAGTGATGTTGAACACATCTTTGTATATCTACTGACCAATTTTTATGTCTTCTTTGGTGAATGCTTATTCAGGTCCTTTGTTCAGTTTTTAATTGGGTTGTTTTCTGCTATTGAGCTGTAAGAGTCTATTTCTTTCTTTTTTTTTCCTGAGTTGTGGTCTCACTCTGTCACTCAGGCTGGAGTGCAGTAGTATAATCATGGCTCACAGTTGCCTCAAACTACTGGCCTCAGGTGATCCTTCTGCCTTAGCCTTCCGAGTAGTTGTGACTACAGACATGTGCCACCACACCTGGCTAATTTTTGGACTTTTTTTGGAGAGACTGATTCTCACTATGTCACCTAGGCTGGTGTCAGACTCCTGGGTTCAAGCAATCCTCTCACCTTGGCCTCCTAAAATTCTGGGATAACAGGTGTGAGCTACCAGGCCCAGCAAAGAGTCTGTTTCTTGTCTGTAATCCCAGTATTTTGGGAGGCCAAGGCAAGAGGATTGCCTGAGCCCAGGGGTTCAAGATTAGCCTGGGCAACTTGGTAGGACCTCATCTCTACAATAAGTCAAAAAATTAGCTGGGCATGGTGGCACGCACCTGTAGTTCCAGCTACTTGGAAGACTGAGGTGGAAGGATCCCTCTAACTCAAAAAAAAAAAAAAAAAAAAAGAGTCTATTTCTTACTGAAAGTTAGTCTGCTGGCACTGCAGACGTATCGCTCAGTTTTATGAACCTCATTTTTTTTTTTGAGTTGGAGTCTCACTCTGTCGCCCAGGCTGGAGTGCAATGGCATGCTTATGGTCACCCCAGCATCGACTTGCTGGGCTCCGGCAATCCTTCCGCCTCAGCCTTCCAAGTAGCTGGAACTACAAGTGTGCACTACTACACCTGGCTAATTTTTTTGATTTATGTAGAGACAAGGTCTCGCCAAGTTGCCCGGGCAGGTCTCGAACCCACGGGCTCAGGCGATGCACTTGCCTCAGCTTCCCAAAGTGCTGGGATTACAGGCTGAGCCACCGAGCCCAGCCATGAACCTCATTATAAATCTTTGAGAAACAGATCTGCTTCCCTCACAATGAAAATAATCCAGTTCCTGGGTGAGGCTGATAGACCCTTGAACAAAGTAAATTCTCCAGAGTAATGAATGTTCCCCGGGGTCTCTTGGTGTTTCCCTAGACAAACTCTTAATTCTCTATGTCAAGCCATGTTTTAAAAAGTCAGGTAAACGAATACACAGGAATGATCAAAAATTTATTACCTTTTTGTTTCAGATGATAAATGTTAAGAAAGCAAAAATTAGGTTTTTCTATATGTTATATTTACATAACGACTCTGATTTTTACCTCTCCAAGAGCAATTGCCCTGAAGGAAGAAAAAACAACAAATAATAGTCTCTGAGGCCTGTACTGCCTTCTAAGGTCAGCTATCCTTAACAGAATAATTGAATAAGCAAGTGTGCCCTCCCCACCTCTTTATCCTACCTATTCCCCCTTTTTTAGAGACAAGGTTTGCTACATTGCCTAGGCTGGACTCAAAACTTGGGCTCAAGCAATCCACCCATCTCAGCCTCCCAAAGTGCTGGGATTACAGGCCTGAGCCACCATGCCCAGCCTTCTCCTGCCCCTTTTTGTTTTTACTTAAAGAGTTTCTGAATAACACATGCAAATTTAGTTTGGATATACAAAGCTAGATGACCATCCAGTTCAGGACCGTGTTTCATTTGATGAGACCTAGCACAACAAAAACAAGAATTACCCCTATTTACAAGGATACTGTGATGGAAGTAAAAGCTCACACATAAGCATAACTTGTGACCTCTGAGTAAAGGCACGGTTAGTATAAACTCATCTATAAAATGAGGAAATTTGACTTGGCTGTCCGTCAAGGTCCATTTAGCCTGTACAGCTAGTGTCAATGTTCAGATCTTTCACAATAAATGGACTTGCCCTCTCTACTAGAGCGGATACAAAAAGAAAAGTCCATCATACTGTGGAATCAAGCTTCTGATATAAAACATAACTGTTGGGGTTAAAGTAGATCAATCAAATTTTTATCCTAGCTGTGGGGTAAATTCAAAAGTGTGAAATTTACATAGGCTGTAAAACTGTGGCAAACTATAGTCTTAAACCAAAGATACTCCCATGGGGATATAAAATTTGAGAGTAAACCCAAATGAAATTACTTCCTAAGTCTCAAGAGTCTGTAATCTGCACCCATGATGCCTCTCCATTACACGCTTTTGTCCAGGTCATGTGCACAAGGGCATTTCTTATCTCATGGAGGCTCTGAGACACCTTTTTAGAAAAAAAGTATCAAGAAATTAGGATTCAAGGATTTGGAACCCTAATGCTACAGGCAAGGCCTCATTTCTACGGAATACAAAACACTCAGTTTCTTCTATTTCTAATAGCTCATCAAGAGAAGTCACTACTAAATCGTGTTCCTGTAGCATTTCTGGGTAGCGGGACACTGCTCGCTCGATCCTTGCTGAACGCCGTACGGGAGTGATAAGCTTCATGTCTGGTACTTCTGGCATTCCGTTTATTCTGAGAGAAAGCAAAATATGCATTCAAAATCTCATCACTTAAAAAAACCCCTCTATTTGTTATATAATAAAACATGATAGAGGCTTCAAGATAGGTTGACATAAGAGTTACGTTGTCTAGAGCAGCACCTGTATTAAGATGGCTTTTCCCAGATTTCCAGAATGTATCGAATGGTGTCCATCTGCTCTCAGATGGTGTAAGCACAGGAATTTAGTTAATAAAATGCGAAGTGTAGCTTTTATTTGAAGTCAATTACTTGGCCATTGGTATTTGTTTATTCTATAAAATTTCAAAAGAGTTGACAGATTTTTATGGAAATTGGGGCTAACACCAAATTTGGCTGGACTTAAGATTCTAAAATTATTTCTAGCTTTGATAGTAAATTATTTTTAAAAAACAGATTTTAAGATGGTGGACAAAACCACAGATCAAAACTGGCACAAACTGAGCTTCTTCCTTGTGAATTTGTACATGTATTCCAATACAAAGTAGCCCGAGCTGGGTGGGTGACTCATGCCTGTAATCCCAGTACTTTGGGAGGCAGAGGCAAGAGGATTGCTTGAGCCCATGGGTCTGAGATCAGCCTGGGCAACTTGGCACGACCTTGTCTCTACAATACGTCAAAATATTAGCTGGGCATAGTGGTGTGCACCTGTAAGTTCCAGCTATTTGGAAGGCTGAGGAGGAAGAATCACCTGAGCCCAACAGGTTCAGGCTGTGGTAGCTGTGAACATGCCACTGCACTCCAGCCTGAATGACAGAGTAAGACTCTGACTCAAAAAAAAAAAGAAAAAAATAGCATGGAGGATATGATGCAGAGATCTTTCTATGTAGTAAAACTGGTCTACAATTCACCAAATCACTGAGCACATTACCCTAAGTAAACAAGCAGGCAGTTCTGCAAAAGGGCTCTCATATCAAATTCTAGAGCCATTAAGAAGTGGTTTTTGGATTAACTGTTTGTTTTCATCCACTCATGAGCTGATTGTAATAGCGAAATGGTGTGTCTGAGAGAAGCTTAGGACTGGAAAAGGTCCAGCTGTACTTTCCAGGGAATAAAATACAGAACTGTTGCTTTGGTGCTCTTGTTCAGAATTCTTTTCAGATCATGATCAGAAGAATGAGCTACACTAACATTTTAGAAAATAACACTGACCCCTGTGATACAGCTCTTAAGATTATGGATTTTGTCTTAAACTTACATTTGCTAAAAAAAAATGCTTCTGATAGTACGAGGAGTCTCTCACTAGTGAATATTCATCTGCCCTCCCTGTTCTTAAAGGGCTATTCACTGCCCCTTCTCTCCCACAGCTCCAGTTTACGCCTCCTTGGGACTCTGTACCCCTTCCCAGGCCATCTGTGTCAGGACTCTCAAGAAAGTCAGGTAGAATCTACAGGTGCAGGACAAATGAAAGGTTAAAAAAAAAAAGAAGGATTCCGAGAGGCAGAAGGTGAACCCATTCCACACCGATAGCACTTTCCTTACTGGAATTCAGGTCTCACTGGGCTGGTGGGAGGAGGACACTATATGTGCAGAGAAAGGATAGACTTGGCAGTCAATGGCTCCAACCACCCCTCACCCTCAGCTTCCTCCTGAATGCCCTAGGTGGCTTAGGTCACCTGGACCAGTATGTATAAACTGCCTTATTTTGGATCTGTAAAGGAGAAACTGAGAAGTGGACTGGAATTAAGTCTGTCAACAGAGTCTGCTTTCGAGTTTGCTTACCTAGGGATTGGAGCAATCTGTAGTTTGATGCCAGTATGATTATCCTGATCTGCCTTGGTTATTTGGGGTGTTGCTGTAACTTGTTCCTTCGCTTTTGGAGAAAGACAAGACTTTATAGATTCCACCTCCTTGGCCAGCTCTTCCACTGATGTTATATTAGTTTCAGCAATTAAACAGTCAGAAGTAATTCCTGTGCATACAAGGACAGGAAGGGAATTAAGATCTAGCAATTTAACACTTAAGCTAAAAATCAATAAAATGAAAAAGTAATATATACAATGATTTTCTAGATTTTCCATGTGGATCCTCATGGACTCCACATACTGAAGAGGGATTGGTTTGAAGTGGGACTATAACTTGTTTTTCCTGCTAAGCCCTGTAGCAATACCCTATATCAGGTCACCCTCCTAACCAGCCCTCCAGACAGCTAAAGATAGATCCTTGATAATAATCACTAGCTTTTTACCCTTACAACATATCTTGGATCAATTTTCTTGACTCACTAGGGTTAACTCACTTGACCTCCCAATCTCCTTCCTACCCAGGGACAACCACATGGCGATTACCTTGGACAGTGGGTGACAAATGTCTTGCATTAATACAATTATGGTAGCCCAATCACAACTTCCACAATAAAAGGAAGGAAATCAGGTTGCACCAGTCAGACATTGTAACTAGAGGCTGAGCCCCTAAGGGAGGTCAATAGGATCAACAAGTGGCAAAAGGTATGGATTCCTGTTTTCTCTTTTCATCACTTTGAGGTAAACTGTCATATAGTAGAAGCAAATATCTGAATTGTAGCATCATTTCTGGAAAGTTGGCTGTTGAGTATATCTAAACCACAGAAATGATTATTCCCCAGTTAAATCTACTCTTAAAGGAAAAAGATTTATCTTCTAAGATAATAAGAAGAATCCATTTTATTTTCTAAAAATAACTTTTTTCCTTCCATTCAGATAACAAGTATCATAAGCAATTATAATGTCAATCATTGAATTTGGCACAAGATTTCTTATTTTTTTGGAGTCGGACAGGAGTCTTACACTGTCGCCCAGGCTGGAGTGCAGTGGCATGTTCAGCCACTGCAGCCTCGACCTGCTGGGCTCAGGTGATTCTTTCGCTTCAGCCTTCTAAGTAGCTGAAACTATAGGTTTGCACCACCACGCTGGCTAATTTTTTGATTTATTGTAGAGATGAGGTCTCACCATGTTGCCCAGGCTGGTCTCAAGCCCATGGACTCAGGCAATCCTCTTGCCTTTGCCTCCCAAAGTGTTGGGATTACAAGCATAAGCCACTGTGCCTGGCATATTATTTCTCATAGGAGTCTTGTAAAGACTGATGATAGTAATGGTTAGCCAAGTGAAGGGATTCCTGAGATGGCTGTTTTAAAAGGGATAATAGGAATTTAGATGAGTAAGTGTCGGTGGGTTTATTATGATTAAATGAGTAACTTAAACCAGGACATTTCTCCCTTTTGCCTCTGTCTCTTCTGATAAAGAACTGTTTGTCTTTTCCCATTTAGGATTACAGGAAAGCAAAACACTCTAGTCTAGGCTGCTCTGGTGAAAACAACCTTTGTTCAGTGTTGAGCAATATATTCAAATTATAATAAAAGAAATAAATCAGCTGGTAGCAATGGTGAAAGGGCCAGGCCATGGAAATCAAAGAGTGAGAGGTATTTCAGGGGACCTATAATTCTTTTCCTTTTCCCTATATGTTTCTGAATGGTTTTCACTTGTACAGCTGGAGAGAATGATTTTAAATACAAAATAACAGTACCTTCTGTAGTTTTGTTTGAGTCTTGCAAAATATTAATAACAACTTCCCGCAACTCTTGTATTGGCTTGAAGGAAGGAAAAAAATATATGAGCAGTATTAAAAATGTCCATGGGAAAAATCTGCAAAAGAACTTTACATCAAATAAACTTCTTTTTATAATAAAAATATTTCCTTTTGGAATCTTGTCTAGCTTGTCAGTTTTATGGCTTCATGAGAAAAATGAAGGAACAGAGACTTTAATGAAGAGATGTGTTTAAAGTTGTCTGTAATGTAATTTCTCTAAATCAAAGTCTGCTTTCCTATTGACTTAAATGACACCATTGAATATGTGTTCCCACTTAAAGATTCTGGCCTGAAAGTGTAAAACTAGCTATACAGAAAATGCATCCTATATTTTTAGTGTTATCTTAGTATAATTTGTGTTTTTATCATAAAAGTCACATACCTCCTCACAGAAAAATAGAATAGGTTAAACTTAACAAATGAAATTACTCATGATACCATAACTCAAATACAATCTCTGTTGGCATCTTGGGTGATTTTCACCAGCTTTTTCTTTCTTTCTTCTTTTATTTGATAACATAACAGACCTTAAAAAAAAAATCCTTCATAGAAAAGTAATTTCGGATACAATTATCTGTGATAGCCTTAATTTTTCAAATATGTAAACCATGCCATGAAGCAGAGTATCATAAACTGTACTTTCCCACTGGAACATTATATGTGGAGGTTTGTTTTCCTGACCTGGGACTCTATCAAATAAATAATCAATATAAACTGACAATAGAGTAAAAAAGAAAAGCTTTCCATACATCTTTTTAAAACAATATCTACCACAGAATTATGCTTTAAGCTTAATGAATGGAAATAAACGTATAGAATACTTTGCAAAGAGTCTGAATTATATAAAAAATTCATTACTTTTATATTTTCATAGGCTTTTAAAGGTGGATTGAATATATATTTATTTCTAATCCCTCTTGAAAATCTACTGAAATGATACTAAAGGGATTAAAAGAGGCAATAACCACAAAACATAGGAGAGAAGAAATAGCAACAAGATTTTGGAAGCTGGAATGCAGAAGGAAGAGAGGTAACCAACTTGACCAACTGGAGAGAGCCGAATCCTAAGCTGGCAGTGTGGCTGGGAAACAACCCGATTCAAACCACTGGGACTCTAAAAAGCTCAGGAATGGGTGGCAGGCCCCAAATCAGGAAGACTCTTGAGCATCTGTTCAAGAATCAGCCAGACTTCCAAATCCACTCTGCACCCCTGAACTCCAAGCAGCCTGGTGACTGTGTCCCTGATCCTCTTCACCTTAATAGAAAACTGGGAATGTATTTTCCAAGTCTCTGGGCAACATCATGCAATACTGGGTTTGAGGTGCCTACTGAAAAAAGGGAGAAATGAAAGTTTCCATACTAAGGGTTGAGACTCCCAGGTCTCTTCTCCCCAACAACACTGGTAGCCTGGTTTCTAGCTCCCAGGAAGGAGACTAGAAGAGCCTTCTCTAGAGAATTTGACCAGTTTAGGAGAAAGACCTAAAGATACGGATACTGAGGGTTCTAAAGGTGAAGATCTATCCATGTGTTTAGAGCTCTTTCACCCAGGCTGGAGTGCAGTGGCATGCTCACGCCCACCGCAGCCTCGACCTACTGGACTCAGGTAATCCTTCTGCTTCAGCCTTCCAAGTAGCTGGAACTACATATGTGCGTCACTGTGTCCATCTAATTTTCTCATTGAGATTGATTGCAGAGACGAGGTCTCACCATGTTGCCCAGGCTGATCTAGGACCAGTGGGCTTAGGCAGTCATTTTGCCTCTGCCTCCCAAAGTGCTGGGATTATAGGCATAGGCTACCGCACCTGGCTTTAGAGCTCTTAATAAGCTTTTTAAAAACCCATCTCATACATATGCAAACAGCCCAGTTTCACCAGCATCTGAGTAAAGTCTTTGGTGAATAATAGAGAACAAAAGAAAATAAACAATGAGGGTGGGAGGAAGGAGACAGAGGGAAGCAGTGTAGAAGAAACAGACAATATAGGAAGAAGACAACTTGATATTGGCTCTAGAAAACAAGGCATCCACCCAACTCAAGGAGCATGTGAAAAGAATATGGGGTGACGGTGAAAAGAATATGGGGTGACGGTGAAAAGAGATCCCAGAACGACAACTGGTGAAGACAGGAGTAAAGGGCAACTTGTCCAGCCTGGAATAAACCAGAAGGATCTAGGAGAAAGGTCTAAGAAAAAGAAATCAATAGAGCATCTGATGTTTTTAAAGTATTGAGAAACTTAGATAATTAGAGAAGAGTTTGGAAATTAATTATATAATACTCAGAAAACTTAGCAAAGACAACAGTTAATTCTAGGAAAAGCAGAAAGTTGTGCTTGAAAGGCAAAGTCATCATAGTATATACTACATGACTCAATGTAATCATATATTTCCTACAAATTCCTAACAACATGAATACTAAATAATGACCAGAACTTCCACATGACTTAATGCAAGTATGAGGGAGGCAAAGGTCTGCAAGAATGGTGACAGGGCTGTTTATGTATATGTGTTGGGAAACTCTGCAGATGTGTGTGGGTTAAATCCTCATTCTGCATAGCTGCAAGTCCACAATCATGTTTAAAACTAAAAAATCAAGAAACAGTGACATAAGGATGTTTTCTGAAGCTACCAAGGTAAATATAAAAATAATTAGTCTGCTCTGGGAAGGGAAAATGGGAGGAAAGGGAAGCAGAGGACTTACTGAATGAAACTTGTCAAACTATTCAACTGTTTAAACTATGTGCGTGTGAAATTCCAATTTTGAACAGTTATGAAAAAAGGTACTATAGAATATAGAGTATGACATGAAAAATGACACTTAAATGAAAAGTGTTATAAAACAATTTGATGTGGTCTTTGTAAAAAAAATTATATAGGTAATGTCTTTTCTAAGTTATTTCATGCAATGGCTTTGAATTATTTATGAATAGTATTATTTATAATTATTTATGAATCAGTATTTATGAATACTGATTGTTGGGTTTAATATATTTTTAGGTTATTTATGGTAAGGTATGATTTCTTAAGTATTGGATAGTGATGTTATGCTATTTTAACTTTCTGTCCTATTACTTTTCATAAGTACGTATTTCTACAATGAGTGTTAAGTGAGACAGTCACTTGAAAAGAAACTGATTCTACTGATTTACATATAACATTGTTTTCTACAAAATAAATATTTTAATTAAGATATTCACAAAAGACATATTGTACTCATATTCCACGTACAACTTTGTGAAGTGAATTAGTTTAATACCACATCATAAAACTGCCATACTTCAAACAACAGAGAACTCACATGAAAGAGAATCTTAAGAAGTCACCCACCCAAGACAGATACTCACTGTTGCCCCACTTTTAATGGCCTCTTCATAGAGCCCAATGACATCAAAGGTGCCTTTACTTGCCAACAACTTTGCTTTGCAGATCCAGAATTTAGCAAATTTTTCAGCTTCAGGAATGGTAGACAATATAGTATGTATTTTATCAGAATGCACACCCTGGGAAAAAAAAATATCCAGAGATAATTATTACCATTTCACTGATACCCTTATAGTCTCTAATATTTATTACAGTAAGTATACAGAAATCAGTCTGATTCCTAATTTTCTGAACTTAAAAAAATTTAATTTTACTGAGACATTATGTGTATATGATAAAATACACCCATTTTAATTGTACATTTTGATGAGTTTTGACACTGATCATTAAATTTTAAGAGTTACATGAGAACAAATGACAGAAAAACATTTATCATAGTTGAAGATAAGAAATATAGTCTTCATTTTTATTTTTATTTCTAATTTTTTTTGAGATGGAGTCTCACTCTGTCACCCCGACTGGAATGCAGTGGCCGCTCCCGGCCACCGCAGCCTCAACCTGCTGAGCTCCAGCGATCCATCCACCTCAGCCTTTCAAGCAGCTGGAACTACAGGCGCACGCTACCACACGCGGCTCATTTTGATTTATTGTAGAGATGAGGTCTCGCCAAGTTGCCCGGGCGGGTCTCTAACCCGCGGACTCAGGCAATTCACTCACCTCAGCCTCCCAAAAGTGTGGGATTACAAGCTGAGCCACCAAGCCCGGCTTAGTCTTCATTTTTATATGGTACAAAAAGAAAAACAAAACAAACCCTAGAGTAATTAACATTTCTTACATATGCATAATAGAGTTTATATTTATAATAATGACAATATTGGATAATGACCAGAATTTCCATATGACCCTAACAGCAGTATGAAGGATGGCACAGGCATGCAAAAGCTTTAGGGACGTATGAGTATGGACTGGGGATTTGTGCAGGTGTATATGCAAAAGGATTAAATCTCACAAAAAGGGACTTTGAAATGGCTTCACAGCCAGGCGCAGTGGCTCACACCTGTAATCCCAGCAACTTTGGGAAGTGGAGGTGAGAGGATTGCCTGAGACCAGGGGTTTGAGACTAGCTTGGGCAACTTGGTGAGACGTCATCTCTACAATAAATCAAAAAAATTAGCCAGGCGTGGTGGTATGGTGGCACGTTCCAGCTACTTGGAAGGCTGAGGCGGAAGGATCACTGGAGCCCAGTAGGTTGGCACTGGGGTGGCCGTAAGTGTGCCACTGCACTCCAACCTGGGTGACAGAGTGAGACTCCAACTCAAAAAAAGAAAAGAAAGGAAAGAAAAAAAAGAAATGGCTTCACGCAGTTTTTCTTTTTTGAGAAACTTGTCCATGTCAGGTCTGCTGTGAATCTTTCTTTTTCCTTCTCTTCTTCTCACTAATAAACAGAGTTTTAAAACTTAAAAAAAAAAGAAAAGAAAAAAGAAAGGCTTCACTAGTTTCGTCCCCTTCTGGCTTATGCCCAGAGCAGGGCAGTGACATAGACCAGGAGGAAGGGGGAGCATTATTATGCCCAGAAATCTAGGTACAGGCACACTCAGCTGCGTAGCACCTTCTACAGTTCTTGAGATGGGAGAGACCTAACGGTGAACTCACAATCAAGAATCACAAGTGTTTGAGAAAACCTGTACTACTTGAGAGAAGCATAAAACTCAACAAACAAGAATGTATACTGGAGCGGTCAGTTGAGAGAGTAAAAGGAACACATTTTAAGAATACTATAGTTGGCTGGGTGTGGTGGCTCACACCTGTAATCCCAGTACTTTAGGAAGCCAAGGTGGGAGAACTGCTTGAGCCCAGGAGTTTGAGACTAGCCTAGACGACATAGCAAGACCTCGTCTCTACACAAAATTAGCCAGTCATGGTAGTACATGCCTGCAGTTCCAGTTACTTGGGAGGCTGAGAAGGAAGGATCGCCTGAGCCCAAGAGGTAGAGGCTGTGATGAGTCATGATTATACCACTGAACTTTAGTCTGGGCAACAGAGTGAGACCCTAACTCAAAAAAACAAAAGTACTACAGTCAGTATCTTTAGTGATAAGAAAGAGTATTGCTATCCTAAAACCTGAATGGGCTGTTAAGAAAAAGAATCAATAGAAAGGCAGAACAATGGTATGGACTGCTGAAGAATAAATCTGTCAGCTGAAAATTCAGCTTTGGAATTCTTCCAGAAACAAGTACAACGGAACAAAGAAATGAACAGTATGAAAGAAAAATTTAGAGTTCTAGTACTATTACTCAGTAATTCCAATATGGATGTAACACAATTTCTAGAAGGAAAAATAGAAAGAACAAAGTTGAACACATTCAAAGCAGCTGCAGAATAAAAGTTTCAAGAACTGAACAAGGAATCACTTGTTCTCAGTGAGTTAAGCAGGATGAATAAAAAAAAAGCTATACTTAGAGAAAATCGAAGATAAAAAGAAAATCTCAAAAGCTTCCAAAGAAGGAAAAAAGGCTTACCAATGAAAGAATAAGAATTAGATTTACATGAGACTTTAATAAATCAACAACTCCAGACACAAGAAAGAGAATGAAGCAGTAACTTAAATTTTTTCCAGGGAAAACCACTTGAAATTAGAAATTTTCCCTAGTTAAATTATGATTCCAACATGAGAATAAAATAATGACGTCTTCACAAGAATAAGGACTTGGAAGGTTTACCATTCAAGAATCATAAAGTTACTAGTGAGTAAACTTTAGAATCCACACAACTTGAAACAAAAGTAGCTTCAAGAAGAATATGATATATAATTTGAAAATCATACTTGAACTTACACCAACCACTTTATTTTTATTTCAATGAAGAAAATCTAATCAAACACAGAAAAGAAAATTCATGTAAACTGAATAAAACGGCAAGCTAAGTTTAAACATACGAATAACCAGAATAAATGTGTATGAACTAAATTTGCTTTTTAAAAGAAGAGTTTCAGATATGGTTAAAAATTTTAACTATATGCATTCATATGAGACATACCTAAAATAAGTCAATCCATGAAGGTTTAAAATAAAGGGAGGAAAAAAGATCTACTAGTCATAATCTAACAACAACTAAAAGCAGGTATGCCAAGACTTATCAGACAAAAGAAATCACAGCAAATCATTAATCTTTATTAAACTAACAACACAGCTTTGAAAAATAAAAAGTAAAAGTTGACAGAAATACAAAGAGAAATTGTCAAATGACCAATCACAGTGCCAGTGGGAGACTTTGGCTGATTTCTTTCAAAAGGCAACACATCAGATAGAATACATACTCTTTCCTTTTCTTTTTTATTTTATTTTAAAGTTTTTATTTTAAAGATGTGGGGCACAATTCAGGGTTAGGTATACAAATGTTCATTATGCAGGTACCCTTGTTGATGAGGTGTGCTCCCCCACCCCCACAAATTCTCACTACTGCATATCGCACCCCCCCCCAGTTTCCCACTACTGCCAATTCTTTTCTTATAGTATTACGATAACTGTTCAAGGTAAGCTTATGGGTGAGAACAATAAATACTCTTTTTCAAACACTTTTGGATCATTTATCAAGAATAGTTAGACATTAAAACAACAAAAAATTTCAACAAATTCCATCAAGTAGAATACACATAGGCCACATTCACCAAACACAGTGCAATATAATTAGAAATTAGCAGAAAGACAGAAAAAAAAATACCCCTATATATCTGCAAATTAAAAAGATACTCTTCTAAGATACCTTTTGGGTTAAAGAACTCAAAATAGAAATATTAAGCTATTTAGAAATGAGAACATATGTCACTTATTAAGCTACTGTCTTTTAGCTCCAAGCACCCCTTTTACCCTCTGCTTCGATGCTGGGGCTGGAACGCGCAACCATTTTCTGCTTTGACAGCAGCTTCCTGCTGGGCTCTGCCAGAAGGTGGCGCTAAACGGAGAGTGCAAGGAAAAGAGACTTGCTTCTTCCCGTTTGCTTTCATCACCCAGCAATGCTCCCTTACCCTGGCAGCAACAGTTGGTTCTAGCCGCCACCTTTTTTTTCTAGCATCCTCACGTCACTGGGCTCCTTCAGAGGCAGAAGCACAAATTGATAGCATCCTTTCCTCTGTCTGAGCCCCAGCCCCGCAGGGCCTCTCCTCTAGCTCCTGTGTACCAGTATCTGCAGGGTAGTATGCCCCCCTCCGGGCTGGAGTCCCATTTTTAGTCACCAGGGTTTGTGTCTCCTGCTTCTAGGTTTTAATATCCTCAACCTCTGTTCCCCTAGACCCAGTGGGTACTAGCTGCTTCCCGCTGTTATGGTGCTGTTAGTCAGGTTCCTTTTTGCTTCTGCCCTGCATGTAGCAGATGATGTTACTGTGTGCAGCAGCCACATCCCCTCTGATCACTTTACCACTTTTGTGCACACAGACTCACAGTGTGCTTTCACGGCCAGCATCTGTGCTTCCTTGAATGTGCCCAGAGAGCCAGAAGTACCTGGGAATTCTTGTCTTTCCAGAGACAGTCATTAACAAAAGACCATGGAAGCTTTAAGACTGCAGCTTCTTTGCCTCTATCAGGATGACTGAGAGATGTGGCCCACACTGTCTCCAGAGCTTCCCCGAGGGACTGTGACAAAGTTCCCTCCATGGATTTGCTTGATACCACACCCTGCTTGGCATCCTTTCCTTCATGGTCCTACAGCTTTACTCTCTTCCCAGTTTTCCCTGGGCGTCTCTTCCTAATAAACTACTTTCACACAGATCTTCCTCTTAGGGTTGGCTTCTAGGGAACTACATAAGACACTGTGTAACCAATTACATTCTTTCTACTGAGATACCTCATATGGTTTCTGTTTTTCTGGCTTAACCCTGACTAGTAACAAGCATTATTTAGTCAAATCTGAGGGCTATAACCAAAACAAAATCCAGAGACAAATTTATAGCATTAAATTCATATTCATAAGAAAATATGACTGACTGACTTAGATGATCTAAGCATTCAACTAAAAAGATAGAAAAAGAACAACTACTTTAAAAATAGGTGCAGATAGTGATGCAAGAGAAAAAAAAAAAATCAAGAAAACCCAAAAGAGGCCTTTTAAAAAGATGAAGAAATAGAAAAATCCTTGGCAAACCTAATTGGAAAAAAAAAGGTATAAAATTTGCTAAAGAAATATACTGGTATAACCTAAATAGACCAATGACCATATTATAAAATGGCTAAGACATACACAAAGCTATCCTCCAAAGAAATATGGTCCAGATGATTTAATGAGCAAATTCTTACTAAACCTTCAAAAAAAAAAAAAAAAAAACCCCACGTTGTGCAAACTATTTTTCAGTGTATAGGACAAAAAGAAAAATACTCAACTCATTTGACAAAGTCAGTATAGCGTTGATACTAGAAACACACAAAAAAGACAATCAAAGAACATACATAACAATGTGAAATAAAAGAATTGCAAATCTCAAAACCATAAACTTCATTTGTCTACAAACCTATACCATATGTATGTGTACAAATACTATCTGGAAGAATGAGTAGTTAACAGTGGTCATAATTCAGAAAGAAGATTGGTATGTGTAAGTATGTGTGTGTGTGGAGGGGAGGACTAATTGCTTAACTGCATTACTGTGGAGTGTAGTGACATGATCACAGCTCACTGCAGCCTCAACCTCCTGGCCTCAGGCAATGCTCCTGCCTCAGCCTCCTGAGTAGCTGGGACTATAGGCGCACACCATCATGCCCAGCTATTTTTATTTTATTTTTGTAGAGATGAGGTCTTGCTATATTGCCCAAGCTAGTATGGAACTCCTGTGTTCAAGCAATCCTTCCACCTTGGCCTTCCAAAGCACTGGGATTACAGACGTGAGCCACTGGGTATTCATGGTATTTTTATAATAAAATGAAAAGAAAGGAAGGAGAAACAAAAAAACAAAACACCTCTAAAGTTTAATTCAACAAAGGAGAAACAGTTAATGTTTAACTGAATGCTGTGAAAATGCTGCCTGAAGACTTAAACTGAAGTTTTCCTTTTTTTGCCGATATTCAACATTACCAGCCAGAGGACAGAATGGATTTTACTTTAGGCAAGGATCTTGGTAAAGAAGTCTATTCCAACATGTCTTATTAATATATTTTTCCTTCAGGGACTCTCCAAAGCATCATACTCTTTGCTTACCATCTATTTTATTCTGATCAACTTAGGCACCATTTTCAGCTACCTAGAGTATTTAAGACACTCCCACTTTATATACAGCCTTGCCTTCAGACTTCATATTCAAATGTTAAATGTTTACTCTTGGACCTTGATACCTGAAGAAGGCAAAGTTCCTTTTGGATCTCTCTGGAGCCAGATTATTGGGGTTCGTTTTCCAACTTCTTTGTGCCTCAGTTTCATTTGTAATAGTATGATAATTATGTGAGATAAAATCAGGTAAGTGCTCAGAAAAGCACAGGCATATAAAAGCCACTGTTTAAGTGCATATCATTATGATTTCTGCTATTAATCTATATTAAAAAGAGTACTATCTGCTTAGATGAAGGTCATTTCCCCTACTATATTTAAGAAAAACGGTTAAAAATTCCAAGACTCTAGGAGCTTCTCTTTCTCACTTACCCCTTCAATGAGCTTCAGGCATTCTGTCAGAGTGTTGTTAATTTTACACGACAGTTCAAATTGTTCTTTCTTTTCTTCCTCTTCTTTTTCTATGCTCTTCCAGAATGAAATATTCATTTTCTCTATTATCTTTTTTTTGGTTTTGAGTTCCATTGGAGGCCGTTTATAGACTTTCCCCCTAGATTTCTGCCATTCTTCCAGTTGTTTCCTGATATTCAATTAAAGGGAGAGTGGTTTTAAATTTTTAAAAAAACACATTCAAGCTTCTGAAGTATATGATATGTAGAGACTGAGTATAACTAAGCACCTTTTTCAACTATAGACAAAATTAGGAGAATGGAATTAAAAAAAACAATTTACAAATGTGTAAGGGCAGCAGTGGGTTTCTTCAACCCATGAGAAAGCAGACATTAGAAAGATTACTAGGATTACAGGTGGCCAGCACTTCAGTCTTCAAATTCCTTCACTTCGTGATTATTTTTCTCTGAAGGTTTTCATTTGACAGTATGTATGCTACCTGACACTTGCTTTCCTAAGACATCCTTCTATCTTTGAGATCACGAACTGAATACTCCATTTCTCCTACCACAAGCTTTCTGTCACTCAAGCAAGCCTGCCTTCTGTCCTCAGTAGGGCATTGGTGCATAAAGTGAGTCACTTAAACCAGTTCCTAAGTCCTCTCTTGACAACATCCTTTCTTTCATAAGCTAGATCAATAATTTCAGGACTCTTAAGTAGCTGGTTTTTTGAGGTACCAAGTCCTATCCTTGCTCTTCTTCCTGTTTATTCTCCACTCCTGCTTCTAGGCGGGCAATAGACTGCTTTTTGGGGTTGGGGGAAGCCAAGATATTTAGATTTAGGCTCTCTAGCTTCTTTAAGTTACAACTATATATTGATGACTTACAAATGTACATTTCAGCCCAGATCTCTCCTTGGAGCCCCCAAACTTTGTAAAACTCACTGCCTAGTTGGTATCTTTTACTTGATATCTGATAGGCATTTCAAATTTAACCCTGTCCAAAACACTTTGTCATCTTCATCTCCAGATCAGTACTCAGTTTTCCTTACTTTGGTGAATAGCACTCCAATCCACTCAATTGCTAGGGCCCAAAACTAGGAGTTGTCTTTCCCCCACATCTGACAAATCAATGCATAGTCAGTATTGCTTCTAGCTACACTACCACTGTTCCAGTCCATGTCACTGTCACCTTTTGTGTGAAGGGCTACAGCAGCCTCTTAACTCATCCCTTTCCTTCCACTCTAACCCTTAACAAATCCACTCTGCGGACAATAACAAGTGAGGTTTAAAATGCAAACCAGATTGTGTCACTGCCAAAAACTTCTCAAGGCTCTTGGAATAAGATGCAATATGTTTTCCATGGCTGAAAGGTTCAGTGTGATCTGGCTTGTGCCTACCTCTCCAACCTCAAGTCATACCACACTCCTTCACTTCCTCCCTCCAGGAGCCCTGGCATCCTTTTGGTTTCCTGACCCAAGTCATTCCTGCCTCAGGGTATTGGATCTTCAATTCTCTGTTCAAATGACACCAGCTTAAAGAGTTAATTACCTGTAATTATTCGGTCTTATTAATCAATGTGTTGATTTTCTATCTCCTCCACTAGAATGAAAGCTCTATGAAGGCAGAAACCTTGGAGGTCCTGTGCATAGCACAATGCCTGCCACACACAGGTATTTAATAACATACAGTAAAATTCACCTAAGTGTACAATTCTAGTTTTGACAAATGCATGAAGTCATGTAACCATAACTATTCTCAAGACCTAACAGTTCCAACATCCTCGAAATTCCCTCATGTTCTTTGCTAGTCAACCCTCCCTACAATCCCCAGTTCTTGGCAATTACTGATCTGATTTTTTTCTGAATAGTTTTGCTTTTTTCAAAATGCCAATAACTACTTTTTTTTTTTGAGTCAGGTCTCACTCTATCCTCCAGGCTGGTGTGCAGTAGCACAATCATGGCTCACCAAAGCCTTCACCTCCTGGGCTCAGGCAATCCTTCTGCCACAGCCTGCAGAGTAGCTGGGACCTCAGGCACACACCACCATGTTTTTTGTAGAAACGAGGTCTCGCTGTGCTGCCTAGGCTGGTCTCAAACTCCTAGGCTCAAACAATCCTTCTACCTTGGCCTTCCAATGTGCTGGGATTACAGGTGTGAACCACTGTGCCCAACCTCAATAACTAATTTTTGAATGCATGAATGCTATTAACTCTTCTTTCTCGCTCCTTGACTCCAGAGCACAATTGTTACAGTGCTTATTTCAGTCCCAACTGCTTTCCACTCACCTTCACTCCAACCACCTACTTAGTTACAGAAATTGAGACACCTGGCATGTGCTTCCTCCATGTCCTTGGCATTCTTTCTATCTCCTTAGTTGTCCTGTTAATCATAAATGAAGAGGGAACTTTCCTTTCTAAAGCCAACTTACTCCTAGGACTTCAATGACATAATTATTTCTCTAGTACCTTCCATATAGTTACCAAACACTAAGCTCCAAAAAGGTAGAGACTGTGACTGTGCTCACCACTGTATTTCCTAGCATCTGTCACATCTGTAGGTGCTCAAGGAATATGGAACGAGTGAATGAATCGCTCCCTCTCCAGACTCCTTTCCTTTTGTAGTCAAACATGTTCAACATGCAACATAGTCTTATGACCACCTCTGTTGTCTGATCTAGCCTGTGAGCTCCAGGGCAGGGACACTGACTTCCTCATTCACCAGCTCAGGGTCTTTGTACAGTTTTCTTTCTGCTCAGAAGGATTATCCTTCTTGTCACTGGCCTTTTCCTAGCCCTGGGTCTTGGCTTAGATGTCACTGTTAAAAGTACTCCCCTGACCCTTCTATCTACAGAAGCCATCCTGGCCCTACCCTCTAAATCAGATCACCTTGATTTAAACTATTTATCTTTTGTTTCATTAAGAGAGCAAAGAGGGCAGGGCATGGTGGCTCATGTCTGTAATCCCAGCACTTTGGGAGGCAGAGTTGAGAAGAATGTCTGGGCTCCGGAGTTCAAGATCAGCCTGAGCAACATGGTGAGACCTCAGGGTCTCTACAACAAATCAGAAAACTAGCTGGGTGTAGTGGTGTGCGCCTGTAGTCCCAGCTACTTGAAAGCCTGAGGTGGAAGGACTGCCTGAGACCAGCAGGTTGAGGCTGCAGTGGCTATGAGCATGCCACTGCATTCCAGTCTGGATGACAGAGTGAGGAGATGTCAACTCAAAAAAAAAAAAGAGAGAGCAAAGAGCTTGTTGGCAGTATTCTGGGCTATACTGAGACTAAATCCTGCCCTTACTTTATCCAACTAATGTTTTAGAAACCATCTAATTGTACATGCTTCCTTCACTTCTGTCATTGTCTACTCCAACCAGGCATATACACATGTGCTTCTCCTGAGAGGCTCATCCACATCATGAGAGTATGTCTGGTTCTGTGTGGAGAATGTACAAAATCCTTTGGCCCCATGAACCTGATATGCTGATTTCTACCATCTGAACTCTGTTTTTAGATTATTTTATTTTTTGAGTCTTTTTTTTTTTTTTTTTTTTTGAGTTGAAGTCTCACTCTGTCACCCAGACTGGAGTGCAGTGGCCGCTCCCGGCCACCGCAGCCTCCACCTGCTGGGCTCTGGCAATCCTTCTGCCTCAGTCTTCCAAGTAGCTGGAACTATAGGCGTGCGCTACCACACCTGGCTAATTTTTTTGTTTTATTGTAGAGATGAGGTCTCGCCAAGTTGCCCAGGTGGGTCTCGAACCTGTAGGCTTAGGCAATCCACTCATCTCAGCCTCCCAAAGCGTGGGATTACAGACTGAGCCACCGAGCCTGGCTTTATTTTTTGAATCTTAGTTTCACTGTATTACCCAGGCTGGAGCACAGTGGCACGATCACAGTTACCACAGCCCCGATCTCCTGGGCTCAGGCGATCCTTCCACCTCAGCCTTTCAAGTAGCTGGGACTACAGGCGCATGCTACCATGTCCAGCTAAGTTTTTTTATTGACTGTAGAGACGAGGTCTTGCCAAGTTGCCCAGGCGGGTCTCGAACCCACAGGCTCAGACAATTCATTCGCCTCGGCATTCCAAAGTGCTGAGATTACAGACTGAGCCACCAAGCCCGGCCCCCAAATGACTTTTCTAAACTTAATCACTAGTCTGCTTGACAAGGGACTATCATACTCCCACTTTCTAGCCATCTGAACTCACTGCTTTGTTTTATAGCCATTCAGTCCCTGAAGGGTACTTCTTCAATGAGTAGTCTACATCCGCCACCCTATTTCTTACTCAATTACTCTTTTTCAATTTCTGCTTGAAAAATAAACTATTTCAAGCACACAGAAAATTACAGAGAATGATTGATAACATATGTATGTACCACCTAGCAGTGTCAAATCTTTTTTTGAGTTGGAGTCTCACTCTGTCAGCCAGGCTGGAGTGCAGTGACACATTCACAGCCACCGCAGCCTTGACCTGCTGGGCTCAGGCAATCCTTCTGCCTCAGCCTTCCAAGTAGCTGGAACTACTGGCATGCACCACCACACCTGGCTAATTTTTTGATTTACTGTATAGATGAGGTCTTGCCAAGTTGCCCAGTCTGGTCCCGAACCCGTGGGCTCAGGCAATCCTCTCACCTTGGCCTCCCAAAGTGCTGGCTTTATAGGAATGAGCTGCTGTGCCAAGTCTTAATATTTGTTATATTTGCTTCAAATCTTTTTTCTCAGGTTATAGCTAAAAATTACTTTAGAAGCTATTATTTATGGCCTATTTCCTGACCAATAATTTTTTTTTTTAAGTTGAGGTCTTACTCTGTTGCCTAGGTTGGAGTGCAGCAGCGTGATCAAAATGATCATAGCTCATGGCAGCCTCAACCTCCTGGGCTCAGATGATCCTTCCACCTCAGCATCCTGAGTAGCTAGGACTACAGGTACATGCCAACATCCCTGGCTACTTTTTTTTTTTGGTAGAGACGAGGTTTCGCTATGTTGCCCAGGCTGGTCTGGAACTCCTGGGCTCAAACAATCCTCCTACCTCAGCCCCTCAAAGTGCTAGGATTACTGGTGTGAGCCACCCCCACCTGGCCTGATCAAGTATTTTTGATGGCCAATTTGCCCAATCATCTTAAGTTGAAAATTTTGGAATTAAAGGAAAGTACCTTCGATTTTCTGCTGTTGCCTTCTCTTTAATATCTGGATTCGTTTGAGTCCCATCTGGGACTACTCTCCCATTTATGGTTCTGATACCAGCTTGAGTTTTAGAAGCTGTCTTGTTCAGAAAATGGTTCTGGGGAAGAGCCTTTTTCAGTTTGGAGTCCAAAGTGTGTGCTTTTTGTTGGAAACTGTTGTGGTTATTACCATTGGCTCCATTTACTCTTATGCTAGGGGTGCTTGGAATGACTGATTTACAGCTGCCAACTGTCAAATTAGGCCTCTGGCTTATCGCTTTTGATTTTTGTAGTACATATGATGTCTGAGGTCTAACACAAGGTTGAGTGGATTTCTGATCTTGCTTGATGTTTGGATGTCTTTTTTTATATTCTGCTTGAAGCAAATTGGGGTATGTACTGGGTTTGGTATGTTTCACTTTCTGTTCAGTAACAGGGTATGACTGTAACTTAGTTTTATTTGGTCTTTCATATTTACCCCTATTAACTTTTATATCCTTTGTGTCAGTGACCACTGGTTTCTTTGATAATTGAGTCTTACTGAGGGCCTGAATAAAGTGAGAGGAAACTGTCCTTGGGGGTTTTTCTCTTGGTCTTGCAAGATCTGGTCCCCTAGAGAGTTGTTGTGATTTTACTGGCAGAGTCCTGATTTGAGTTTCTCTAACAAATTCTTTCAGAACAGCACTATTAACCGAACTTTTGCCCAAGGCTTGTTTAGAAGCCAAATTGCTCTTGGTTTGATTGTATGAGTTAGTCTTTGGCTTACTTGTGGTATGTAATTCAGGATCTGGTTTCCCCTCAGGTCCTGATAAGGTTTGAGGCAAGTTCTCTTTATTCATCTCTTTTAGAAAGTTATCCAAAGACTCATTTTCAATGTGGGTGCTGTCTGTAGAATCTGTACACTGAGCATTTCCTTTATCTGTTACTTGCTGTTTTGAAGTCTTAAATTCCTGTATATTAAGTGACACCACGGGTTTCCTTGGCAGTTCTCTGGTAGTGGATGATCCAGTTTCATGCTGCTGATCATTCTTACTAGAAGGCTTGCAGTTTGGGTTAGAAGAAACACATCCTGATGTCAACTTTTTATCTACAGGTTTTGGTGGCTCCAACTTTGGCTTCTGGGACCCTATAATATTGGCTGGTCTGGGCTGGAGTTTAACGCTGATAGGCTTTTTAGCTTTGACAGGCAAAACAACATGGTTGGGTCTAACAGTCTGAAAAAACAAAGAAAAATATATATTAAAAAATTCCTAACAATATCTCACTGCTTTTAAAATAACGACAAAAAATAGTCATTTTACCTAGAATTTTCTATAAGAAAGTTGAATCCGGAGAAAGTAAAGAAAAGCTCACTAAGGGGCAATTTTTATAACTTGTGTTCCTATGAGAAATATATCAGAATCTTTTATTTTGACAGAATGAAGCACAGATACAATAATTAAATATACAAAAAATGATGTTTCAAAAATGTATTTGCCTCATTCAAACAGCACTTGCTAACTGCTCACTATATCCCAATGAAGTGTCTTCCTAGGAACTCTGGAAAAATACATACCTAATGAGCTTACGTTAGAGTACCTCTCAACAAATCTGTCCTAGTACTTTGTATAGGTACACTATTATTATTAGGATTTTGAACCACTGCTTTTGTAAACATTACAGCATCACATAAGTCCCGCTGTCTCATCCCGGAGATCATTGACAAGGGGATAAATAGGCCTGAGATACGTTGGAACAGCTCTCAACAAACACCTAAATCTCAGTAGAAAGTCAGTCAGAACAGGGTTTTGGTTAGAGTCTATGTAATTAATAAATAAATGTTTAGTCATGTGATTTAATTTTGGGTAAGAAAGGAAGCACTAGGTCACAGAGAACTTTGAAAACTAGGGAGTTTAGAAGTCATGGTAAATAACTGAGCAAGGCGCTATGAATTTCAGGGCATCCACAGTGAAAGCAATTTCTCAGAAAGTATAATTTGGCAGAGATTTATAGAAACTATGTCCCAAGGGTAAGATATGGGAGGTCTAGAGTTAGCACTCTCTATTTTTGATTTGACAATACCGTGAAGAATCACTCTGTAAACGTGGCAAGTATGTAAATGAAGTCTAACCAGAACCATTTAGCATTAAGGGCAAAGAGATGTCCACCCTGGAATGGTACCCGCATGTGTGTGTTAAGGATGATATGGGGGAGAGTTGGGAATGGGAAGCAGAAAGATGGATGGTACACCCACAATGGCTATATCTGGATTACTCTTTGAGCCCCATTGTTGATATCCACGTTGGACCTCTCCATAATTTTTTTACTGGAAAGGTGGGGATGTTGGTATGAAAGCTTTCAAATGTATGTTTGACTTTTTGTTCTTTTTTTTAAAAAGTTGGGTCTTACTCTATTGCCCAGGCTGAAGTGCAGTGGTACAATCATAGTTCACGCAGCCTTGACCTGGGCTCAGGCAATTCTTCTGCTTCTGCCTCATAAGCAGCTGGGACTATAGGCACACACCACCATGCTTGGTTAGTTTTTTAATTTTTTGTAGAGATAAAGTTTCACTTACTATGTTGCCCAGGCTCATTCCAAACTCCTGGGCTCAAGCAATCCTTCTGCCTTGGCCTCCCAAAGTGCTGGGATTATAGTGTGAGCCATTGTGCTCAGCAAAATGTATATTATTTTTTTTAAGCTGCTCTTTCTTGTACATTAAAAAAAAATGGATATAATCCACAAACCATAAAATTCACCATTTTAATAAGTGTATAATTTTGTGATTTTAGTATATTCACAAGATTGTACCATAATCACCACTATCGAATTCAGAACATTGCATCACCCCAGAAGAAACCTTGCTAGCAGTCACTCCCCATTTTCCTTTCCCTGCAGTCCTTGGTGACCACTAAACTACTTTCTGTTTCTGTATCTCTATAGATTTGGTTACTGTGGACATGTCATATAAATGGAATCATACAACATGTGACCTTTTGTGTCTGATTTCTTTCACTTAGAATACTCACTCATGTTGTAGCATATACTAGTATATCATTACTTTTTAAAAAATTAATAAACTTTATTTTTAGAACAGTTTTAGGTTCACAGCAAAACTCAGTGGAAAGTAGAGTTCCTGTAAGTCCCACAGCCACACGTCATTACGTTTTTGTAGCTAAATAATATTCCATTGTTTGGATATACCATATTGTGGTTATCCATTCATAAACTGATTGGCATTTGTGTAGCTTTCACTTTTTGGATATCATAAAAAATTGCAAGCGCACCTTGAACAATTATCATATTACTATAAGAAAAGGACTGGCAGC